ACCAAATATCAATGAAAAATAGAATACAGATACAACTATTTACAGTGTTCGGAACGTTCACTAAAAAAATGAACTCGTTCACGTTCACGTTCAGTACTTAAAAAAGGAACTCGTTCGCGTTCACGTTCCTGTTTTTTTCAAACGAACGTGTTCACGTTCACGTTCATTCAAAAAATGAACGCATTTATTGGGCGTTCATTTAATTTTTTTTTCTCAGTTATTACTAATTTAATTTAAATTCGATATCATAGGAACTATAATGGAAAATATTATTATAATATGATTAATTAAAATATTTTAAAAATATATTTATTAAATGGTAAATAAATTAAACTTCTTAATAATCGATTAAGTTCATTAAAAATATAAACGGCGTTCACGTTCACGTTCTATTTTAAAAATACGAGTGACGTTCACGTGACACGTATCGTTCACTATTTATGATCGTGAACGCGTGAACGTGCGTTCATGAACGACGTTCTTTCCAAACACTGACTATTTATAATAATATCTCCGACAAACGAAGACTAAAGAGTGTTGTAGTGTTGTACGCCGTCATGACTCATGCCTCATGGTGAATGATACTTAGATAAGTAAAACCACGACAAACTACTAAACCATAGATCTATTTTGTCATGAAGCCATGTAGGTATACTACTATTATAGTTTTATATACCTAATCTATGGTATGCCGTATGCGGACCACGACGGACGGTAATTAAAAATTAATATTGTATAATAATTATAATAACAACCTAACCGCGTGCTGCCTCCACTGTATTGCTGTGTCATATTGTGTCATACAGTGACACCAGAGTATCAGTCACCAGACTACCGGACGGTGTACCGGTCGGTAGTAATGTATAATTTGTCGGCTTGCCTTGCAGTGCATGCTATTCGAGGGGAAACCAGCGCGCGTCCGGGTAGCGTTCGGCCGATGTCAAGGAGTATGCGTTTGCGTATTGCGTGCGAGCGATCGTTCAAACGCGACCAACGCCGCCGCACGAACGTTCTAGAAACTACATACTCATTCGATAAAACGTCGTTCATGTCGGCCTTTCTCAATCCGCTTTCGTAGCTACGCAGTTGTGCATTGTCCGACGCGCGTCACCTGTTTCGCGTTCTAACGACGATCGTCAGATAATAGAACTGAAGGACTGCGGACGTTTCCAACGAACCTAGATCCTTCGAGAAACGCCGGAAAATCTCGTCGTTGTGGTCCGGTATCTTAGCTCCGACAAGGTGAGTACTTTTAGGGTAAAATTTATAAATCCGTTCAATAATGTGGGATCGGCGGATGTATCGCCATTGTCTCGCGTCCGGGGTGCTGCCTTCCCCCGCCGTAGTCGATGACCGTGAACTGCGATTTTTGCGTGCCATCGAATATCGATCGGATCGGCGGCGGTCCTGAATACGTATGGTTTTTATGAAATACATACTCGATCGTCGTCCCCGAGTCCGATAACCGAAAGTGGGTTCAGAAATAGCCTTTGTTTGGCGTGTGCTACACCCCCTCGGCAGTTCGATGCGGCGTGGTTTTGGTTTTAGTCTTCGTACCTTCTCGAGTTCTACAGGACTGAAATGATTTCGACAGTCTAGAGTTTTGAGAATTGACAAAGAAAAACTTCGTTTTGGGTGTATGCTCTTGTGTAGATATAAACGCGCATATACACATAAGTGCTAACATAATGATATGCTTGTGTGAGTGTGTGTGTTAGTGCGTGTGTGCGCGTATTTCCGTGTGGACGAGATCTCGCTTGTAATTTTGAATTGCGATGTGGACTTAGAAAAATAAATAGTCCGGAAAACTTGCAATTGTATTTTGGTATTTTATATTCATTGTGTGTGACGCTCTATGAACCATGATGAAAGTAATTTAATGATTTTGGATTTGGTTGAAGTTTTTTTTTAAATTTTAGTTTTTGATTACCCATTCTAATATACGAGCCTCAATATCACATCTAACATTTTTACACATTGATGTGATTGTTTAATCTTGGTGCATCTAAACTTGATTTTACCATCAATCAAACATTTAAATTTGACTAACAATTTTTTGTTTACTTATAAATGTATTTATAATTACTGACATTAACATTTTTTTTTATAAATATGTGCATTATGATTAAATAATTTTATATCAATAATATGATGTATTTGAGGTACCTAAATTATACACTTGTATTTTGTAAGTTAGGTAGTAGGGGCCATGACATTATAAATATGTATGATTTACCTACTATTTCTGCATTGAAGTGTTATTTAAATGATTATATTACTTCTTTCATTGAGATCTGACATTGTACAGTGACTTAATTGATTTGAATACGAACGTTGAGATATTATTTCAATTTGGCATTACATAATAACTGCAGAAGTTATTAAAAAAAATGTTGACATTCATATTTTGCCTAGTATATTTATTTTAAATATATACATATTTTTAGGATAATAATGTGATGTTTCAGATTTTATTACAGGTAGATTATTCGGGTTTCCTATTAAATACTTTAGACACTTATGTTTAATTTATTTATTTTTCTAATATTCTGCAGTACGTAATCTAGAAAAGACTAAAGAGAAGAAAAGAAATTAGTGTATTCAATGTATAGTAATAATACTTTTAGTCAGGTCATTTTTGGAGTAGGTGTTATATAATTATAATTTATGAATTGTGCATAACGTACAATCATGGGGCAATTCAAGTTGTTTGCGGTAACCTATAATTCATACAGTGAAGAAATAAAAATTAACATTTATTCGAGCACTTATAATTAAAATATTCTTATTAAGCTTCTTCCATTTTGATACACTTAATATAATTTCAAATTCATTCTTCTGTAAGATTAATTATTGATTATTGCTTTATTTACTTATACCTTAATCAAGTGGCTATAAGACAGATCAATTGCATTAGTTGTTCAATCAAAATTTAGTTGACTCAGCATTTTTAAGAAAAAAAAAATCTATTTAAAAAATAAATATGTCGATTATAGGTTTATTCTTAAAAACTAATTAATTTATAATTTATTATTATACTTCGATTAAAAATGTAATTAATTTTTATGAAATTTTGTTTTTAGATTTAATTAGTTGGGCCAAATAGTAAAACAATGGTTAAAGAAACAACTTACTATGATATTTTAGGCGTTAAGCCTAATTGTGGTAATGATGAGCTTAAAAAAGCATATAGAAAATTAGCTTTGAAGTATCACCCTGACAAGAACCCAAATGAGGGTGAAAAGGTAATAATACATAATGAATTCTTGGTTTTTATTTAAAATCCCTATTTCATTAGTACTTAATCTAATTCCTTTATTATTTTAATCCACCTGTTCATTATATCATATGTTAATTATTTCTAAATTTAGTTCAAACAAATTTCTCAAGCATATGAAGTATTAACCACACCAGAAAAACGTCGTTTATATGACCAAGGTGGCGAACAAGCACTTAAAGAGGGAGGAGTCGGTAACTCCTTCTCTTCACCAATGGATCTGTTTGACATGTTCTTTGGTCAATTTGGTGGAGGTGGTCGTGGCCGTGGTGGCCGCCATGGACCTCAAAAAGGCAAAGATGTTGTTCATCAATTAAGTGTTTCTCTTGAGGATCTTTACAATGGCTGTGTACGAAAATTAGCCTTAGAAAAAAATGTTATTTGTGACAAATGTGAAGGTAGGGGTGGTAAAAAAGGAGCCGTAGAGCAATGTCCAGGATGTCAAGGCAGTGGAATTCAAGTGCAAATTCATCAGTTGGGACCTGGTATGATACAACAAGTGCAGTCCATGTGCAGTGAATGTCGCGGACAGGGTGAACGCATCAATCCCAAAGATAGATGTAGGACTTGTAATGGAAAAAAGGTACATATTGATTTAAACATGAACCTATTAACATGATAATAATAATTTGATAATCAATTTAGGTTACTCGCGAAAGGAAAATTTTGGAAGTAAATGTTGATAAAGGCATGGTTGATGGACAAAAAATAACATTCAATGGAGAAGGTGATCAAGAACCTGGACTTGAACCCGGTGATATAATTATTGTATTGGATGAAAAAGAACATCGTTTGTATAAGTAAGTCACAATTTAGTATTTATATTTGCTGATAAACAGCAATATTTGTGTTTATTCTTAAAAATTGTAATCAACTTTTATTTATTATTTTGTTGTGTTTGTAGGAGAAGCGGTACTGATTTGATTCTTCGCTTAGAAATTGAATTAGTTGAGGCATTGTGTGGATTCCAGAAAGTGATAAAGACTTTAGATGAACGTTCTTTGGTTATTACTGCTGTTGCAGGTAAAATGAAATTATTATTAAAATAATAGTTGAAGAGTATTGTAAGTAATATATAAATTATAGGTGAAGTTTTGAAACACGGTGATGTCAAATGTGTTATCGGTGAAGGTATGCCTCAGTATAAGAACCCATTTGAAAAAGGTCGGATGATCATTCAGTTCCTGGTTAATTTCCCTGAAAGTTTGTCGCCTGCAAAGGTGCCTGTGCTTGAATCGTGTCTTCCTCCTAGGTAAGAATGAACTTAATGTTGAACATTTTTGTACCTATTGGAATGGTCGAGCTCCCTTAATATCTCATGCATTATAATTTAATCAATATTTTTTCTTAATTCTATAGACCGGTCGAAACTATTCCGGAGAATTTTGAAGAAGTATCGCTTACAGAGATGGATCCAGAATATGACTCTAGGAGGCAATCTAGACGTGAAGCTTACAATGATGAAGATGGACCCTCCCGAAATGTTCAATGTGCTTCACACTAATGTTTCTTCACTTCTAAAAGTCCATATATTATACAGTACCGAGTTAACTGTACTCATTCCGTAATAAGACACCGAGCAAACAAAATTTGATAATCTGTATAAAATTTTAGACTCTGATACAGTATTTCTTTCCTAATATAATTACTCTTTTTTATTTTATTCAAAAGTAAAAGATACATTTAATTTAATTGCTTTCTGCTGATCAATACATTAGTACACTCCATTTTTAGTGTTACTTATTTTTTATTTTATAAAAATTGATAATCATTTCTATTTTACACAGAATTACTATTTTGTATCAATTCTTTTTCCTAGTACCCAACATTGTGTTTGGTCATTACTTCCTTTGTGTTTTGACTTAAATTATTACCAGATTATAATTTGAGAATTTGTTTCTTATAGTTAGTAGTGTACTGTTTTAAGTTTTCATTTGTTTTTTCATTAAGGCTATTGGTAGGAATCTGATTCTCGGTTTTTTCCTACACCTGCACAATAAATATGTTTTGATTTCCAATCACTAATTGATCAAATGAAGAGTTAAGGCCTACTTGAGTTTGACTACCTTGGATTTTTGATTTTTTTCTCCTCTAAAGGAAATTTTTTATACAAAGTCTTTTGTGGATAAATTCAAAAATATGGGAATTTGAAATAAAGTAGTCTGATACAAATTCTAATGTTTCCAGATTTTTTATTACTTTCCTAGATCAAATAGTAGGTTTGAAATAGAACAGGTTAGGTTAATTAATTTTAATTGTGTTGAATAATGATAGGAAGTTCCCTTTTTTCAAATACTCAAAGGAAAAATATATTTTTACACTTTCATAAGAAAATAAACTATACCTATTGTATGTATTAATATATAACATTTTGTTGCATAGAGATTTAAATTATGATATCCAAACAAAATAAGTGACAACTAATAACTTCAAAATAATTTGTTCTTAACAGTGTAACCTATAAAACATTAAATTAATTTAACTGAAAACAGTTTTATCCTTTTACAAGGATAATAACTTAGCGAGTTCTGAGCAATGATTTATTGATAATTTTAAGGAATGAATTGATCTAAACTTTTAGACTTTTATTTAGGTCACCAGTTATTAATTGTTGACAAATAATGATGACAATAAGTTCTCTTGGGGCTTTTAACTGCTAAGCTCCCCGAGAAGCAATTCCCTTATAATTTCCTATTGGATATTACTGCTGGTCAGTGTTGCACAATAAAGACGGGGCCTTCCCTTAAACTCATAACTCTCCTTTCTAACTCATCTTCATTCAATGAACTTTGATAAGGAGTATTAATAACATGAATAAATATTTATTATGAGCATTGGCTAGCCACCTATTTTTAAACAAATGTTAAGGATAGTGCATTATATAAAGGCAAAGAGTTACAATATATTTAAAGAATATCAGAAAAATATAAGAAAATACTTGCATATTGATCTAAATCTCAATAAAGTTTTGTAGAAACACTGAACCAGTATAGTTTTTAAACTTGTTTTCTTTGATAGAATATTAGTGTATAAGTGTATCAAAATTATCGCTGTTTGTATTCAAAGTGATGTCATTGTTGGCTTTTTAAAGTTTTAATCATAATATTTATTTTTATCATGGTTTTGGGAAAGTTAGTATAGAATAAAATTCTGCAGTTCATCCATTTTTTTAGTCCTAAAATTATTAAGCGGTAAACTTAATTAAATATATTTAATTATTTTTTAAATTAATCATAAACTTGTTGACTCGCTGCAGTAATCTTGGAGGGGCAGGGCAAAAGTACTATTTTGCTCCCCTCCAGATCTCTAACAATGTATCTTCATTGTTAACAAACTTTTTCTATTATTTGTGAATATGCTTTCCTAAGCTCTACAGTGCATAGTTAGTTTCATGACCATAAAACTAGGTTTAACCCTTAAACTAACAATAAAGTAAATATTAAATAATAAATATATTTAAAATGAGGCACACAAAGTTTGGCGTATTGGAAAAGTTCCTGATGACCTTTCTGCGTATTCCTCGACCAAACTTGAAATAGTTAAATTTAAAAGTTTCAAAATTTAAATAAATAATTTAAAAAACTTACTTTTGATAACCTACTATAAATTTTCTTACTATTCTTCAACTTTCCAAAATTTGATTTGTTATAGTTTTGGGGTTATAAGTTATAATCCACAGTTCAGTCTAAGTAGGACAGTTACACGTCATAGTCAACACCACAAGTAAATTTATTTAAAATATGGTTGAGTCCATTTATGCTTAAATGGAATTATTTGGTAAAAAGAAAACACTAGGTGGTAGGTAAATGGAAATATTTTAATGAAGAATTAAATATTTTACTTTTTTAATAACATTGTTGTATTATAAAAATAAAATATTTTCCATTTAACCCAATCAACTAAATAATATAAATTAAATTTCTGGTATGGTTCCAATACCAAAATAAAATACATGGATTTTTTAACATTCATGTACAGCATCAATCATAGCTCTTAAATGTTCTGGATCGACATCAGGATAGATACCATGGCCCAAATTTGCAATGTATCTGTGCTTTGTAAATTTGGATGCCATATTCTTGACCATTTCTTTTATTTGTTCAGGCGGACCGTACAATGAGCAAGGGTCTAAATTGCCTTGTAAAGTTATATTATTACCAACAATTTTCCTAGCTTCAACGGGATCGATCGTCCAATCCAAGCCAATAACATCATAATCAAAAGTAGATAATTGTTTGATAGCATAGTGACCCCCTTTGGCAAACACTATCATTGGTACACTATTGCCCTTCAACTCATTTTTAACACGAGAGCAAATGGCTGACAAATATGGACCACTAAATCTAAAAAAAAAGTTTTTTGTTTGGAATTTATTTCAATTATTTTCTATTTTTTTTATTTATAGTTGACGTCTTTGAATACCTGTCAAACAGTTCAGAATTCAAATATTCTGCATTTGATTCAAACACTTGCAACATTTGAGCACCAGCATTCACCTGCTCTATCAAATATTTCACAATAATGTCTGTAAGGATTTGTAATAATTTTTTGCTTTCTTCTGGATATTTGTACAACCATTTTTTGGCCTTTGACATAGTTTTGGAGCCACCTCCTTCTATCATATAACACATGAGTGTCCATGGCGCACCAGTGAACCCAATGAGAGGTACCTATAAAATATTACTATTCATTAAGAGTATGTCATACCCACATGTATTGTATCTGGTCTTACTAACATAACAAACCAAAATTTACATTTGACAGTTCCAATTTTGTGTGAATTAACTTATTCAGTGTTCTAATATTTAGAGGGAAGAACATTAAGTATTCCCTCGTTGGTTTTTTACAATAATTTAATTTTTAGTTGGGTGATAAATATTTATGTTTAAAAATTCTCATAACTTGCTTAAAAATTAAAATATTGTAAAAACCTTCTAGAGAATGTAGATGATATTTGTACTTTAAAATTTTATCATACATCAATTCACTACTTCAGTCTTGTTTTAAAGCTAACAACACAAAATTGGAACGGCCAAACACATTTCTTATGTTTATAATTTGTATACAGAGATAATACATGCGAGTGAGATTGAGTTATGGATAAATACATGTTGTATACAATATGGGCTAAGACTTAAAAGTAAATTTGAATGATAAGGTGATTCTTTTCAATGACTGCCTTAATTGTGGTACTGCTGCAATATTGGTCAGTATAATATGTTCTACAGTTTTACCTGGCCGTTTAATCGATGTCTAGTCAATGTAATAGCTTCAAATACATATCCTAATTCTTGTTTAACATCAATTGATTGGTGTAGTCTGTCTAAATCTATAGGTTCCTTGAGAGGATCTGGAATTACAGGTCCAACACTGGGTTGCATTTCAACAATCATGCCTAATGCCTGAACAATCACCAGAATATCGCTGAAAATTATGGAAGCATCGAGATCGTATCTCTGAATTGGTTGCAGAGTGACTTCACAAGCGAGCTCTGGTGTTCGGCATATAGTGAAAAAATCGTAACGCGATCGCAATTCTCTGAACTCAGGTAAATACCGACCAGCTTGTCGCATTATCCATACTGGAATACGATCGACTTCTTCACCTCTAGCTGCTCGCAAAATACGATCATTTTTAAGTGCAGGGAAATTCATATTGTTAACAAAAATTATAAATCGTTAAAAAAATTAAAATTTGTAAGTAACTAAACACAACATGTGGAGAATTGGAAAATTAAATCCTATAACAAATGACTAATAAATAAATACTAATAATTAAAAATAAAATTAACTATATGTCAATACTCGTAGACTTGTAGTCGTGAGGAATCAGTAATGTAATCACCAATCACCATTCACCATATTGTAAACTAAGAAGGCCCTTATCAATCACTTATCTTTTATTGATAACAAGAAATGATACCTAGGTAGTTCGATGATAAAATAATTCCCTTTGAATAATTTTTAAAAAATTATGTAATTTTTTCTTATACTCCTTTTTTCTTTGGAGTACCTACTCTCGTTTCCATCGAATATTCAATCAATCAATTGGTCGGAATTCGTTAATTTACCGGTTAAATTTGTCAATGCTAAATCCAATATCGTAAAAATGTTTAATTCAAACTCATCAAAAACCACGTGATTTTCAGAAAAACTTTATTTTCTTCAAGGTAGAAAAACATATAGGAAATATGCTATTACGTGTTCAAACGTTTAACTATGAAAAGAAAAATTTCTGACCGAAAAATAGTTTGCAAATTTTGTCGATTTTGATGGATTTCAACTATACCAATATACCATAATAGAAATAACTAGTTATGACTATATTATATATATTAATAACTAGTTATTTCTATCATGGTCTATATAATTAAAACTTCAGACCGATCACAACAAATTATTCTGGATTTTCGCTCAACTTTTTTAATTACACTATTAACTTTTTCATAGCTAATCCATTAACATGTTGGATTGAACTACCTTGCTTATAAACCACAATTAAAGATAGATAATTATATAATAATAATAATTATTATTATTTATAATTGTATATATTTATCTATATGAGTTTATAGTTCTATGATTGATGATCCTTAATCATATTATAATATTATTATATGATCTAAGTTGTGATCAGTTATCAGTACAACTGTTCAATTGACAATATCAATATACCTTGCAGGAATTTGGATTAAAATATTCTCTTGAAACAACTACCAAAGAATAAAGGTGTCTCCTATTCTGTCCATGTGATGTTATCAAAATCAGGATATTTGTCCTAGCCCTCCTTTTTTTAGTCCTTAACATGCTTATTATATGTATACATATTTAATATATTTTTATTTCTTGATACTTGATATCTAGTAAATAATCAATATTGGTAGGTAATTCACCAAATTCAGTAAATGTGATTTTATCATAGCTACCTACTCTCCAAATCTTCGAGGAAAAGAAAATGAAACGTTAATATACTATATACCCTCAAAATAATGTGATTGAAAACATTTAGGTATGCGTTCCACAATGTTTATCTCATTCTAATTTCTAAATACATTAGTTTAGATATAGAACTATAAATACATTAATATTTAGGTACCTAATGTACATTTTTACGTATTATACATACTTAGGTATTTAGACTAATGCCTATGGACGTAAAAAAACAACCATCAGAATATGAGATTGCTTTTCTATACAATAATAACACAGAATCTGAGTATTGAACATTTTCCCAACTAAAAACTGGTTTTGATGGCTAAAAGGAACTGAGCAATGATAAAGTGAATAATAAATAATAAGTTAAATTATATTATAATTTATTATTTTATGTATCTATCATTGAATACCTAAATAAATTAAACATAAGAGTACCATTATTTTATGCACATATTTCAGTGTTACACTGTTTTGAAGTTCTAGAACACAAAAGTCATCTTCAAAGAAGATAAATAAATGGTTGTTCATTTAGTACCTACCTATACCATTCATACTGTCTAAAAATTGTAGGTTTTATTATTTAAATTAAATAGAAGCCATATCATAGCTCTGTTTAAATATGCTTCCCAAACATGTTCAATGTTAATGCATTAAATGTATTACTAAAAATTTCAATCATTATACGTGATGTCTTCTATACTATATAGTTATTAGGTACTTAGTAATTAGTATTATAAAATAGCTTAATTTTATTAGTCTACTTATTATATTAATTATTATTGATTGGCAGTGTGAAGTTCTAACATAATATGTCACAAATTAAATTGTGTTGTAAGTATTTAGGTAAAAAAAATGCTTTTAACTTATAAAATCTAGGTGTTGCAACAGTATGTATCTACTTCACTGTTATTTATTATTATAAATACCGTTATCTAAATTAAAAATATAAATGTACTTATGCATTAAATTAAGTCGGGGAGAGTTATAGGTTTATGATATAAAGGATATTTATAATCTCTAGTTTTAACATATATAATAAAAAAAAATGTTGATTTATGATGACTATGATAATATTATTATTTACCTTACATAGAGTCTGACCTCTGACCCTGCAGTAGGTATACCGTATAACATGATAATATATGTATATATTTCAAATATAAGTACCTAGGTTGATTATCAAGAATCTACTGAAATAATAATAATATAATAAAATATTAACATATTATTCTTTAGAACCCCCCCCCCCCCCCCAGAAAAATTTTGAAAATCCGCCACTAAATATTATTATGACCTTTAATACTCTATAAAATTGCTCCTGATGATGTTATTTTTCAATCATATATTGTGATCAGAATAATAGTAATAAACAACATAAATGCATAATTTGGTACAAACAAAATAATATGTGAATAAACATTACTATTTTGATATTTTGAATTTTCCCATTTGTTTAATAGGAAAGAGATAAATGGAGAAGCTATGGAACAAATAAAAATTCAGAATATTATTCAAGGACTTCCATTACGAAACTATGGAGAATCAGTAGCACTACGAGTTAAACAAATATTATACATACTGATTATTATCATTATTATTCTAAATAATTTAAGATAGGTACTAAAAATGTTCATTAAATTGTAAGTTATATGTAACTCTGGACCTAAGCTAAGTGCACAGAATTTTCTATTGTTAGCTTTAATAATATACCTACCTAGTGATTATTTTATTTAAGTTTTTTTTCCTATAGAGCTCATAAAATGTCCACTATCTTGGATTTTTGTATTAATTTCACAATGTATTTATTTAAATTATTTTTTTATTTTTATCAATTCATTTTTATTATTTATTATTTTTATTTATTTTTATTCATTTATTATTTCTATATTAGTTTTAGTTTTAGATTTTCAAACCAGCTTGAAATAGTATAATTGTTTTTATATAGTTATTCTTATACAGATACCTACTTTGTTTAAAAGCTTATGAGTTATGATTTTTAAATATTTAAATGTTAATTAGTATTACAAAAAAACAAATAATAATTTAAAAATACTCTATACCTATATCATAAAAAATATTTTTAGAACTTAAATTATCAATAGTAATTTAATTAAAATAACAATTTTAATAACTGTCCTATTGTCCTGACATAATAATATTTGAAACCAAAGTATTAAGTAGGTAACTCTAACTATATTTGAATAGCATAAAAAGTTGAATGTAACAGTACCAATTAGGCACATATACAGCTAAATAATGAAATTTTTTTAAATAAATTGTTTAGTTCGGTATTCTCAAAGTCTGGAATTCAATACATATTCATAAATAAAACTTATCATTGGATAAACAAAATATCTATCTACTTGAAAATTATAAACATAGATTAAATTACCACCAACTTTTTTTATAAATATTATTGGGGGGTCTTATACTCTTATTTTACTGCATACTTATGTTTAAAAGTTAAATAAAATACTGATAACCTATACTTTATATCTTTTTCATAATATAAATTTACCAAGGTAGTTACTATAAATTTTTTTTTATTTTGTAATTCAAATAAATAATGTCAGATACTTGAAATTATCACCAAATGTTTATTTATTACTTTCTATGCGCATAAAATTCAAACTATTATAACACTTTTGAGCCGTTTAGAGGCATAAGATATGTTTCAATTTTTTTAGTTTTTTTCTATACTTAAATATTTATCGACAAAAAATTCTTCACTGGGTCAAAAACTTAAAAATTTAATTCAGGATTCCACATAAGTTGTTGTAATAGCAGTTTAAAAATGTTATTGATGCATATTGATGAAATCACAAAAAGTTGAAATGTATAAAATGTTTTGTTTTTTAATAGTTAGATAATTAATGTTATCATCTATTAAAAATTGTTTTTATATTTACCATATTAGTATACCTACTCGATCATTACATTTTAAATACAATTTCTGGATTTAAAATAATTATCCGATAGGTACTTAATAATAATATATTAACACAATTACTTAAAATGTATAGAGGTAAATGATAAGCATTTATTATAAATTTTCTTGCGAATCAACATGTATTTTTTAGTGACTTGATCTGGTAAAATTTCTTTTTGAGCTGATTTAAATAATTAATAAACTAATTTATGTTTCTCTTTTATTCCATTATGATACTCTCATTTTTTAAATTAGGGACTATATTAGTAGGTATAAAATATAAATACTTATATTATTACGGAATTTTTTACTTTGAATTTGATTACCCTCGGACATTCTATTGGTTTTAGACACTTTCATTGCGGGGCACGGACATTCTTGATTTCGGAAATTTTTGTAAACTACATATATAGTATTTGTATGGGTATATTATTATATCTTAAACGGCCTAAATTTAGACTCTTCGCTTATTATCTACTTTTATTGTGTTAGTACCTATGTATACACAATTTAAAGCACTTATGGAAATTATACTTCAATAATCAACTTTGTGTGTGGTTTCTGATGGAAAATTTGATCAGGTCGGTACTTTTGAAGGGTTAACAATACTTCAATAGGTATAGGTATACAACACAGTAAAATGGTATTTAAAATACAGCGAAACTTCCATGTTACTACCATTTAATATAACCTAAGTCTCAGCGGCAACAAAAAAATTCCCATTATAGAGAATTTTGGTAAATGGAATTAAATACGTTTGGGTCTCAAAAATATTTTTTTACACGGAAGATGTTATCAAATGAATGTTTGTTTTATGGAAATCTCACTGCACACATATTCAATACCTACTTGAAAAAATATTTTAATAGGTAACTAAACTAATTTACTTTACAACGCTGTTAGTATATGTTAGTAACGATGTCGATGTGACTCAGGAATGATGGTTTCAGTGGCAGCCAAATGATTTTGTCAAGGGAGGGGGGGGGTATGTCTGATTTTTTAACACGCAATATTTGATTTTTAAAAATATAATTTTTGGTTATCAGCTCTTAAATATTGAAAAAATATCATTTAGTGTTCAAAAGAGATAACGTCCAATATAGAAACAAATTGTTCACGTTTGTCGTTTGAGTATGGTGTATCATTAATCCCCCAACAGGTGAACAATTTAGTTGGTCGTTTGCGCTGTGACAAGAACGAGTATGATACATTAATGACATAATAGGTACTTCATCATATCTCTATTAATTTGGTTGTTCGTTTTAAAATGGATTTAAATATTTATTATTGTAACAAGTTGATGTTGATATACCTACTACCTCGACTGTGCATTTTTTTGGCGGCAAATCCTATGTTGCATACATATACTTAGTTCACTGTGTAGTTATAGATACTGTGTATCTCCATTTAATTGTATCTCAGTTTTTGTGTACCTCAGTTCACAGACAAATCAGTCAGTGTACCTAATTATTTATGAAATAATTCGACCTAGATGGCCCGATATTTTTAATTTTATTTATGGTTAAATAAATTGGAGGTGGCTAGAGTCTTGAGATGTATAGTTGGCCATGGTCATATAATAGCAATTATACAATTAAAATTAAATATTTTTTTTAACCTATACAAAATGTATGCAAATCAACGAATTATCCGGGTTCATAAGGATAAGTTAACAATTTACTAACTAAGTAAGTACCTATGCTCACTGAGGATTCAAGATGATTCGTTCTACATCATTTCCGCTTCAGCCAGTATGTCAAAGTTAACTCAAGAGTTCGACGAGGGTTCAGACGAGATTCGAACTTAACAATCAGTTCAGTCAGAAAGACCGACAGGACCTGTCCCGCGTTAACGAGCATTTTTTTTATTCGCGAATCACTTGAGAGTACACGCTGCAGTATAGTATACTCATGATTTGTCAACACATTCTTGAGAGCAATAACGGCGTGTATAATAGTATGGAGTATAACCCTGTAGGAACATCCCTGAAGCCAACAACTCAAAATTTGTTCTCTAAATGCAAAATTTATCATATTATGTTGTACACCAGAGATAACACAGCCGGGGGATGTGACGTCCTCCTCTGCAGAACGTCATATTATACGACCCACAAGAAACACAACATACTCGAAATATTGAGGTTTTTTGCTATAATGATATCATAAATACTAATATTGATAATATGTTGTATATACTGTTTAGCAGTTATTACTTATTTATATGCATTTTTAGATTTAATTGAATATAAAAGTGCACACAAATCATAATTATTATGACTATTATTATAGTTTTTTTTTAAAAATGTCGATTTTATATATCGTTTATCCATCACCTACCAGCTAAGTTGTAAGACAATATTTTTAGTTCATACTGGTGGTATTAACTCAATAGACATTCAAAATAGTTAACACATATTATTACAATTGATTCTTGTTTCCAAGCTACGCTACAATATAATAGTCACCCCTTTCAGATTAACAGTATTGACAAAACATATATGAGTAGAAATCATAATACCTAACCACACGTATACTTTCATTTATTCATTATATATTACAATATAGTTAGTGGTTACAATACAATTATAATTTGAAGTTTAAAATTGAATTAATTAATTTTTTTTAGGCATCATAACAGTTTAATTATATTATTCGTATAGTACTTAGTTCATACATAGTTTGATAATATCAAGTACATATTGAATAATCTCAAGCATTACAATGCCATTCAAATTGCCAATGATACCAGGATTTCAAACTTGTAACAAAGTAAATAATTTTATGTATTACAATAAAATGACATTTTTTATAAATATATTTAATTTAATAAAATTAAATAAATATCACAAGGAAATTAAAATGAGGTACCCGAAGACACCTGATTTAGACATCATGAGTGGTGTGCATATTATCAGATCATTACACGTCAAAAATGAAAAGAAATGTAATTCTGCCTTTAATTCCACTACAGATCTCAAAGAAACTAAAAAGCCTACTTGGCTAGTATTCGATAAACAGGTAAGTAAATCGTAAATGAGTTTCGTAAATGTTGTTGTATACAATTACATATTTAAATATTTGGTGAGAAGTTACCATAATTTTAAGTGGGGTTAAATTAATAAAATATATTCAAAAAATATATATAAATATGTGAATATATAATAAACTGAATACGTTAACATTAAAAATAGTAATCACGACTTGATTTTTTTTCTAGAACCTAACATTCGATGCATATTTCAAAAGTAAGGTGAATGAGAGCTTTGGCTCTACCTATAATTTAAGAAAATGCAAAATAATTTATTTTCTTGAAGATAATACAATTAAGGTAGTTGAACCCGTCGTTATCAACAGTGGCTTACCACAAGGTAAATTATTTTTATTATAATATAATATAGTATCGAAATATTTTGATTATCCTACACGGTTACACGAGTAATTAGATATAAGTTATTTAATGTATTATGTATTAATGAGTTATGACTTGTGAGTTAAAAGTTAAAACAAATAATATTAAGTTAACTTATAGATCCCTAACATTTGATTTTAAGTACAAATTAAAATGTAAAATGTAAATAGATTGTTGTTTCGTTTGATTTTCTTCTATCGAGTTTTGTTTGAAACGCTGGCTATAAAACTCAATAAATATTTACACATGCTGACTAGTGACGATACCTACAATATACATAGGTAGGTACTTACTTTATTTTATAATTAAGCAATTATACTACTAATTACTAAATACAAATAAATAATAATTAGTTATTCTAATAGCTAAATGACATAATATAATGTATTGATTTCTTAAAATAACAAGAATCTATAACGATAACGTTTTATTTTAATGGAAAAAATACTAGTAAGTACTTAGTAGTTTAAATACTTAATACTTAAATATGATATCGGTTAA